CAGGCCAGTATAATTCCCTGTTTGAACAGAGGCGAGGGAATTAGATCAGCATGTTTCCCAAGACCGAGGTGTATTTCCACGTTGTCAGGCCATAAACCACAGTGAGTCAGTGAAGAACAACATCCTCGTGAGCATGGGTTGGATTTTGGTGGACATAAAGCATGTTTTGGTTTCTGTTTGTACCATGGCAGCTGGGAGGGTGGTTGCAGACAACCTTTTGGGTGATGCTCCTGCTGGTTTCTGGTCCTTGCCCCATGGGCACAGCCAGGTGCTTGCTGCCTGGCTGGGGAAGAAAAAAAGGCGTTTTTTTGGGAGGGGGAGTGGAGGCATAGTTTTGAGTCCTTTATTAAAATGAAGAAGTAGCTCAGGGTGGCAGAGACCTTGGAGGTCGCTCCCCAGGGCTGGGCTGGGCTCAGAGCCCTGGGGAGAACTGGTTCCCCAGTGCGAGGCTTGGGCAGGAGCATCAGCATCTCTCGGCGCGGGAAGAAGCCGGGGGAGGGTTTGCTCAGACAGGGCAACTGCCAAGCGTGTCACCTCGGAGTAGCTGGGTTAGACACGCTGTTTGGGGCCATCACTCCTTTGGTGAAGTGAACCGGAAGTGCCTACAGGGAAAACAGTTATTTGCTCATCAAGGAGAGGGTTGAAGCACGTGGGCTGACCTGTTTAATAGCTTGTCGTTACTCTTGCTGATGAATAAACTGATGTTAAGTTATAGGAGTCTGCAACAGCATTGGGCAAAAGTCAGGATTTCAAATCAGGGTATGTTTAAAGTGAAGCATAAGTCAATAAAAATATTTCTCTTCTCCTTCAGAGTTGGCAGCAACTTCTGTTTGCTTCCAAGAGGCCAGAGGTATGGAAGAAGAAAAGAGGGGGTGTTGCAAGGGGAATGAACTGTCAGCTTTTTGTGGGCAGGCTGTTGCCTTGCTGGGGTACTCTCAAATGTCGTAGTGATCTGCATTTTTATTTATTAATTTATTTTAACAGTTGGTTTGCAAAGGTTATGATTTCATTGTTCTGAAAAAATCAATCCTGCCACCTTTTAAAAAAAATATTGATTCTCCACCTGTCATTTGCCTAAATGCCTGCCTTTCTGAAATCTCAGAGAAACCATAGAAACAACAGAAAGGAGATCTGAGCAGGGTTATCCTCATTCCAGAATTCCTCTGTGGGATTTCTGTGCAGTTCTATCTGCGTGCCAGAGCATAAAGAACTGAAGTGCAGTAAACGTTGATGCTATATGTCTGAGTCAATGTATTATAGATGATATATTGCTAAGGCGAAGCTTGTAGTGATGCTGATTTAGTGTAAAGAATATTTGCATGTAGCCTAGGGACTTGGGGCAAGGGGAGGTTAAAAAAAAAATAATCCAAAACTCTGTCAGCAGCCATGTGCTAAGTTCAGAAAATTTGGAAGAAGTAACAAATTTATTTATTAGAAATGCTCTCTTCAATGTTTACGTGGAAATATTTCAAAACATTTTTGTAAGTTTTGAACTTTAATGCTGCTGGGCTGTGTGTGTTTACAAGTGATAACGTCTCGGCCAGAGGGAAGTGGGAGACAGCGGCGACGTCTTGCTCAGAGCCAAGTTTCTGATGGTGGTTTTTTGAAAATAAATGTCCCTGGGTCTTTTAGCAATCTGGTGGAAAAAATTGCAGCCAAACTTTTAATAACTGCATGCATTGCTGTAAAGACTGTCTATTTTTCCGTGCTGCAAATACAAGAGTGATGCTTTAAAACCTAAACCCCACCAGCGACTCGAAGAAGGAATCCCCCACGGCCTCAGCAAAACAGACTGCAGCCAAACACTGCTTTAACCTGGTTCCGAGGACCCTCAGCAGTGGCCTAGGGGGGAATTGCCCCCCAAGCTCAGCAGCGCAGCCCCCCCCTGGCGCTGGCGAAGGCAGAGGGAACAGGAGCTGATGACTCATTCTGCCTGTCACGGGAACCCTTACGGCTCTGCTAATGAGCACTTAGCTGAATTTGAGATGCCTGGGATCATTGAAAAGGCTGGAAGGCATTTGTGTACCTTGTCCATTAGAAGAAAAATCTGCTTTCTATAACTGTGTGCCTCCTACAGCCTCTAGCTCAACTTTTTAAAGTAACTGTATTTTTTGGTGTTATTACCTGAATTGTGATGGTTTGAAGCCAGCAGTGAGTTCAGCTTACTTTCTCCCGCACGACAGTGTTGTAAGAATATGTATTTCTTTTTACTATTGGAAGAAGAACCTTGCAAGAATTCCAGTGGTAGGATTAATTTTACACTCAACTGTCTGTGTCCTCTTTTGTTTCATCTCTTCCAGTGTTGTCACATCTAGTGCTTTCCTTCCTCCTCCTCCTCCGATTGTACTTTTAGGTTGTTTATATCTTCTTTCTTACAAACATGAGGGTTTTAATTCCTGTCCCCTCACCCCACCCCAGGAGGGCAGGTAATGCCGGGCATGTGGTACCCGGGGAGTGTCCCTGGTGTGCAGCCTTTCCTCCTTTGTTAAGAGACTGGGTCCTGCATGGGCAGAAGAGAAGAAGGGCAGAAATACTGAATTTTCATGGATAGACTCAAAATAAGCGTGGTGGAGTGTTTTCTGAGAATTCATAATCTCCAGAGCTGGGAGAGACTGACTCAACGAGTTGGACTCTGCATTTTACTGGGCTATCCCTTAGGTTGCCCCTCTCATGCTGTGCACCACTGCTCTTGAATTTCTGCAGCAGTGCTCTCGGTCTTTTTTTTTTTAAAGCTTCTTTTAATAGGCCATTACTTCACAAGTTAGTTTGCATTTTCTTCTGATGGCTGAGCTCCGTGGGGTTTATAAAATAGGGTAGTTTTGTTTCTTGGTAAAAGCTTGCGCTGAGTTAGCTGGTTCGAAGGAGATGAAGATGCTTCTCTGTTGCAGGAGCTGCTGCAGCTCCTCGTGTTCATTGCTCGTGTGCCTTGGGGCTAATGAAAGCTGCAGCCGTGGAGGCAGGTATCTGCCTCCTCCGCCCTGTGCACCCCGTGGCCTCGCTTCTGGGG